GGGCCCCCTAAAATACTTTTCATATAGGATATGCGCATTAAGCGCTGACACGCACGGTTGCTGTTACAGTGTTTATTACCACGACACCGTCCGAGTCAGTGGTGCCTGCAGGTGTACGGCACTTTGAGTACCACGAGCACCGCTCAGACTGACCTCAGATTTGCCCGCAAACATTTCAGCAGTTATCATAGGCCTGTTTGGCGCTCAGACTGACCTCAGATTTGCCCCGCAAACATTTCAGCAGTTATTATAGGCCTGTGTGTCCCATATGTCGAGTGAACCAGCCATGCCATTAATTATGAATTTTTCAGTCTTTTGCATGCCAAAGTAAATTTCTGCATAGCAATATTAGGCTACACCAAATAGAAGCAGAAAATCGTGCTATAGGCCGATGCACTTTCATGAGATCGGGTTAGCCTACAACAATTAATTTGTTGGCTATTTTACAAATGGGAATACAATGAATTCATGACAATGTTTACATTCAAGCTACCCATAAAATGTATAGTGAAAAGTACTTTAAAAGCGTCTGGAATGCAATAAAGTAATTTGAATATATAGCTTTCAATATATTTTTTATCCATTTTTTCAGTTTTATTTAAATTTGTAGTTAAAACAACTAAAAATAAATGTATTTTAAAGTTTAGAATTAGACAGCCTTTGTACACAGGCTTACGCTGAAAACAACAAAATGGAACCTCAAGGTTGATCTAGGAAAATGTGTGAAAATGTATAGGGCCCCATTCCTATATTTTGCCTGGGGCCTCCAATTCACTAAATCCGCCCCTGGATATTATTATGCCCTACAATCCATCACGCTCTCAAAACTCTGGACTTTTAGTAGTCCCTAGGACAGGGTTCCTCAATTAGTTTTCGCAGAGGACTGATTTCTGTCAACAATACTAAGCCGAGGGCCACTGACCTATATATATATATATAATTGTTATTATTATATTATTGTTGCTTTTGTTAAAATAATCACAACGTGGTCACAATATGAATATTCAGATTTTTTTCCCCAGTAGTTTGTTTTATTCAAACAATTATGAACATTTTTGCATTTAGATACAGAAGAACGTTGCCTGTTGAATATTAAAAACAAATTAACAAACAAAAACTCTGGATCTCTAATGTCTGCCATGCAAATCAACTGTTCCTGCTCATTCCCAGACTGGACTTCTCTTCACTTTTCCTAATTGCAGATTCAATTTTTAGATTTGTCAGTATTAATATTTTTATGCTTAGATTTTTTGGGGGGATCAAACTGTATCACCGTGTGTCCCAACCAGACACAACGCGATAAAATGTTTTTTTCCTTGTAGTTTTTGTCTTAACCACCCACGACAGCGACACGTGACAATAAGCGACATGGGATTATATTTTAGGACCGTTTTTTATTTTCTGCGACGTCGCGGCAGGAACAACATACAAAATATGACAGTGATAATCTCAGGTAATGATTATGTGCTTTATTCAATGTTAAAAGTGTCTAATGTGAGCTTGAATATTATTTTGCGTTATCTTTATAGCCATAGTGAAATCAACAATAGATATTTTACCTCAGATCTTGAAAATAAATTAAAGCAAACGTTTACGTTAAAACTGTGAACTCACTGCGAACCAGCCCAAGTATTCACTCACTCACTCAAAACTGTTCAGTCCATTCACATTTGAATCATCTATTTTCTGTGTCCACTTTTCTTTTCTACACACTCGCGACGCGACAAAGCATTGCAAATCATTTGAACGTTGTGTCAGTACGTTATAAATAGAACCAGTCAGCAGTTTACTGTCGGGGATTTGTCGTGTCGCGCCGCATTCAAGACAGCATCACTGATTATAATGAGTTCTTGTATTTTATTGCGTCGCAAAGCGCCGCTCGCATCCGGTGTAGACACTATGCAAGTTAATGTAGCTTTCTGATGCTGCGTTTGAATTTTCATGCCACATTATTTGAAATTCGTGCGAGCCAAAAATGTTCTCTCACGGGCCGCCTATTGAGGAACCCTGCCCTAGGATATAGGAGTCCACTAAAGGATGGAGAGCATTTTCTCATCTGGCTCCTAAACTCTGGAATAGTCTTCCTGATAATGTCCAGAGCTCAAACACACGCTCTCTGTTTAAATCTAGATTAAAGGCACATCTCTTCAGCCAAGCATTCACATAATGAATCTCATACAGATCTTCCCAGCTAGAGCAGATAAACATCCCAAACATATTTTTAGCTTGAAACGTTATGAACAGCAGCTACGCTAATTCTTTTCCACTGTCTTTCTGTTCCTACCCAGGGATGCCCATCTCGAGGTATCTAAAGATTACGCCAGCTCCAGCGTGGATCCAGCCTCATAGAAAGACTTCAGATGACCCAGGGCCTGTGAAGAGATGATGCTGACCCCTGCGAGGACCCCAGATGACGCCAACTTGAATCGACATGCACAGCTGTCAAAATGTATCTATATTGTAATCATTATGATCACACCTGTAATAATCGCTTTAATGTGCTTCTGCCTAAATTAATTCATGTTAGCTAGCTGTATGATTCTGTTACCTTGAACTGTTCATCTGTGAAATGAACATTACTTGGACACATTCACTTCTGATAACAGATCACTCTAAATTGTAATGTAGACACAGGCATCTTCTGTAAAGCTGCTTTGAAATGATGTGTATTGTGAAAAGAGCTATACAAAAAAGATTGAATTGAATTGAATAATGACAAACAAGTCTAAGAAATGAATCAAAGTTGATTTATTAAAAGCACAATGGCTTTTAGTTCATGTCTATCCGATATGAGCTCATCTGCTAAAGAACTCCTTTGACACAATAATTATTTAACATACATATTATATTATTATAAAATATTCATGATCTGGTGTTACAGTGATTTTTGTCCAATCAGATGCTCTGAACAATGAGCAAGTCCCTCCTAAACCACATGACACTGACTAGCCAATAACAGAAGACTACTGGATATTTCTAAAAGCCACAAGCCAGCAAACCAATTTTTGTTCTAAGAATGTTTTCCAAACATTATATTTTGGTTATGGAAACGTTAAAATGTTTTAAGGTTTGTATAATGTTCCTGATATGTTATTTCAACTTATTTTTTATTAATAACTTAACACAATGCCTGTATTAAAGTGGTTTTAACAACTGCCTTTTATGTAGATGTGTTACTGATGTTAAAAAGTTATTAAGTTGAAGCATTACTGAAAACAAGTATTAAACATTTAGCCATTCAGTTATTGTGAAAGAAAGATCACTAACGAGATCTGCATGCGTTCTTCTAAAACTGCACTCTTGCCTAAAAGTTGAGACACACTTGGACATCAACACTCATCAAACCTCAACCATGGTGACAAGCAAATAATGTTAAAATATAAATATAGCAAAATAATTCAGCTGCATATGTTTTTTATGCCGCAGTGCATGCTGGGAACCATGCATGAGTTTTGTGTGTCACCATTATTGCATTTCACATGCTGATTGTTGATGTATGTGAACGTATATATAGCACTATTATTAATTTTGCAACACATTTGAGTTTTTCTGATCTAAAATATCACTTTGTCAGTAGTATAATATTAAAAATCTTAAAAAAGTAAATTACATGATACCACCATTAATTAAATCAATGTAATCAGATGTTATACTGTCTTTGAGTTCTTCTGATACAGCAATAGTGTTTTCTGAACAAATTAATACAGTAGCCAGAGAAAAGATAAAAAAATAAAAATCATGGATCAAGTGTACAACTACGGGAAACACTGATCCCCACATGGGTGACTTGTGATGTTTGTTCCTCTTTCCTTTAGTGATTTTACTCATTAATATCAGGTGTCATCACTAACGTCACATTGAGAAGTGTAGAGACAGGTGACTTTGTGTGTAGCATCTAACCTTAACTACAACCCCCTTGTTTAAGCTAAAAAGTTAGTGACCCTTAATATTTTATGGTTGTTAAAATAATGTTTTTCAAAGATTATGCAAACATTATGAGAACATTCATCAAATACTAATAACAATATGTGGTGATTTCATGAACATTGTTTTGAAAGTGTTAAATTCTAACACTTGCATCAATTTAAGAGTAAAGTTAGGAACAATAGCAATGGGACAGGCTATAAAACTGTCCCATGATGCAAGGGTGTTCTTTTAAAACAGCAAACACAACCTCATTAATTTGAAGTTTGTTGTCATTCTAAATGTTTAAAGGACGTTCCAAGAATCTTGTTCTAAGAACGTTTTCTCCCAAAATGATGAGGACATTTTAAAAAATCTCTTCGTGAGGCCTTAAATAAAATGAGTGTTTGTGATGTGAATGTAACAGAGACTCACCGTGAATCATGAGCAGAAAGATCAGAGGAAGACGAGGAGCCATTCTGACCCACATCAGCGTCAAATATATCTATAATACAGCATTAATCAGCACTTCTAACCTGTACCGTACATCACCCTATTCTTAATATTTCTCACGTTAAGACACGTATGTTATATGAGCAATAATCATCAGTTTGCATGGAAGTACGAGTGTGTTTGTCTTACCGTGTTGAAGCTCATCAGATCAGCAGCAGCTAAATGACTCTTTAAACACATGCACTTATAGCTCTAGGCTAACAGACTATATGTGGTTAACACGGAAATATCAGTGTTCCTTCCTCAACAAGCAAACAACATCACTGCAATAAAACTAAAGTAAAATAGTGAGCTGATTGCTGCATAATTAGAATTTAGTTCAGTAGTTCAGGGTAAAATTATCAGTTATGATTTAAAAGCAGGAATATGTTGTAAAATAAGGAAGTATATATATATACAATATGTTGCTTCATCTCATAAATAATCATAACAACAATTATAATATATTATAAAACCTACTTATTAGTGGTTATAACATTTATGAGTATGATTATACTTTATAATTTATACATAATTTATTTGAGATCTGTACAGTATCTTAATGATATTACAATAAATATAGTTTAAAAAAAGTGCCATATAACACATTCATCTGATCAGATATCTGATCTTATGGCTGTTTAAGAAAAACATATATATATATTTTATTATTATTAGTGTTGTTGCTGTTATTTATAAGTGGTCTTTGCTTTAAGTAAAGTAACAAGTTAGCAATGGCAAGATATGAGATTTATAAAACATTATAATTATGGGAAATATAATCCATTGTAAGTTAAGTGGATGCATTGTGTTCATTGTGTATTATAACTGCCACAATCTTAAAAGCTATAACTATCAATAAGTAAATATTATAATGCATTAAAACTGTTGTTATGATTACTCATGAGATGATACAACATATTATAAGATTTTTATAATACATTATGCGTTCATTATAATGCCTTAAGAAAACTCTTATAATGAGTTATAAATGCTGGCTTCGTAGTAAGGTTTACCGAAAGGGCTTGTATCCACCACTGAACATCAGTGTGAATGACTTCAAATAATCAGTGTTGATTCAATGACACCCAAATGTGAGTTTTGTGGCTTTTAGATCCTCTATATCAGTTCTGAGATCTTTTATATGCTAATAGTGTTCTTTGACATATAATCTTCTACCATGTGTGCGTTCCACTTCACTTTTAGACACACACTCGCCCGAACTTCCCCAAGCACTTCCCCTCAGAGGAATATCCACTGCCATTTTGAAGTGCATTCCCCTTTGTGAACATATGGACAGATTCTTGACCCCTTGATTTTGACAGAGGGAGTGAGTCTACTTCATATGTGCACTTCAGAGCGCTCCATAGAATACAATGCAACACTATTGCACTATTGCAGACTGAACTTAATTTACCCCCACCCCAAACAACTCAATGATATGTTAATTTTATTTTTATTTTTTAGTTTATTTTTAACAGCCCAAACACAACTATATACATAAAGAATGCTGCATCAAACAAATTCATAAGGGAAAACATATAAATAACAAACTCAATAACGGATTCCAAGTGATCAAGGTCTACAACCCTTCTCCTGGAGAACTATCGTCCTGCAGATTTCAGCTCCAAGCCCAATCAAACACACCTGAACTAGCTAATCAAGGTGCTCAGGGTTACTTGATAATTACAGGCAGGTGTGTTGGAGCAGGGGTGCGTAATATTCGTATTAGATGAGCAGACGTGCATTAGTGACCTGGCGTGAGAGATTCTTTCTACATAGCACAACTTTATAGTTCGAGTAACCTATTGTAATCTGCAACAGTATGCAGGGATTGGGGCTATTGTGAGTGATTTTGATATATTGACGATAGGCACGTTCTTGAAGGTGACGGAGACGTGGTAGTTTTACTATGCATGTCTTCCACTGTGTTTATTTTTCAATAGGATCAAAGAAAAGAAGATTGAAATGACCTGGGCTGTGTTTCCCAAAAGCATCGAAGGCCTAAGTAGATCATATACTGCCACCAATGGTCTCTACGATCAACTTAGCTTGCCATGCTTTTGAGAAACGCAGCCCTGAATATTGAATCCGACTCCATCTGTTAGTTAAAGGGGTCATATGATGCTATTTTAAAGATCATTATTTTGTGTATTTGATGTAACAGAATACGTTAACATGCTTTAATGTTCAAAAAACATAATTTTTCAAATACTGTACA